GCTAAAGCTGTCCTACCAACCATGGACTAATTGTTAGTATTTTCGGAGTTATCGCAGAATTTAAATTTAAAAAAATGTTAACAACGTGGCAACATTGTACAGAGATATTATCTCTGCCAGTGGGTGCCGTTTTTTTGGGAAATCTTTCCCTGTAGATTCTGGCGGCTAAATGAGCATTTTGCAACGATTCTGACTAAACATTCTAAACAAGTATCTGCATATTCGACGTTTGAACATTTTAATTACAACAAAGGATGGATTACGCGCGTTTCCAAATCTTCAATACTTCAACTAACTGACAAGACAAATCAAGAATCAATTAAGTTCAGCCAAGGTTCAACCACCTATCCTTTTCTGTGATATATTGCCAGATGTTTAGATACAAAATTACAAGTAAAATTTTCATGTTATTTTTTCGATTTTTTTTTTGAAATAGTAGTCCATGTCTCACAGTGAAGAGAATAGTTAAAGAACTGGAGTAAAACACACAGTCTATCTTCACTCATTATTTTACAAAAATAATCAGTTGTAGATGTTTCGGATCTATCATAGATCCATCATCAGCATAAGTTCTACAAGTTACAAAAATATGGGAGTTATGGGGAGGGCCTGGGGTGTATACATCAAAAACTTACCAAATGGCATAGGGAAAATATGGTCATATGCGACATGCCTAAGTATAATAATTATACATAAAAATATAAGTGTTCATGCTGTTATCAGCATAAAGTTGGTGGCTAAAGCCGCATCCAACACAGAACATATTTAGAAAACTGGAATAGAGGAAGCTACGAATTCAAAAATTACGTCAAAGTTTCAACTTACCAAAGGTGAAGATTGAAAAAATTATTTTATCAACATTAGAAAATAGGACTGACACACAAACACAGAATATGCCTCTAGGAGGCGGAATTCTGGACACTCATCTGTACTTCTGGATGTTAGTGGGTGTTAGCTGTTAGCTGTTAATCAAATTTCAAAATTTTTTTTTAATGAAAATCGTACTGTCTGCACGAGGAGTAAGAATGTAATGGAGATGAGGAAGAAGATGGTGGCAGGAAATTAGTAAAATTTGCTGCATAAAAACCTTGACAATTCCAGAAATCAAACCAAGTAGCTCCCTCTTACGACCAAAGGCCAAACATTCATAGTTGGATACTAAGTTACACATCCAAAAGTAATAAAATATGTTGTAAGCAATAAGTTTGATAAATTAAACTAAATTAAATTGAAATAATAGCATTACAAAAGGGATAATCAGAGTTCGACTATTGAATATTAAATGTTTAAATTTTTTAAATTTTTAAAGGAATTATACTTTGGTAGGTAGCGTCACCTAACACGAACAGACAAAGGTGCAAGCGGTGGTTGAATTTGTCTACTAGGGAACCCTACAAAAACTAGTGTGGTACCGCTGTGACAGGTATATAGGTATCTTCTCCTTGGTTTCAGTCCTGGGCGCCGCCATCTATATACCTGTCACAGCCGTACCACACTAGTTTTTGTAGGGTTCCCTAGTAGACAAATTCAACCACCGCTTGCACCTTTGTCTGTTCGTGTTAGGTGACGCTACCTACCAAAGTATAATTCCTTTAAAAATTTAATATTCAATAGTCGAACTCTGATTATCCCTTTTGTAATGCTATTATTTCAATTTAATTTAGTTTAATTTATCACAATTATTGCTTACAACATATTTTATTGTTTTTGGATGTGTAACTTAGTATCCAACTATGATTGTTTGGCCTTTGGTCGTAAGAGGGAGCTACTTGGTTTGATTTCTGGAATTGTCAAGGTTTTTATGCAGCAAATTTTACTAATTTCCTGCCACCATCTTCTTCCTCATCTCCATTACATTCTTACTTCTCGTGCAGACAGCACGATTTTCATAAAGAAAATTTTTGAAATTTGATTGACAGCTAACAACTAACACCCACTAACATCCAGAAGTACAGATGAGTGTCCAGAATTCCGCCTCCTATAGGCATATTCTATGTTTGTGTGGCAGTCCTATTTTCTAATGTTAATAAGATAATTTTTTCAATCTTCACCTTTGGTAAGTTGAAACTTTGACGTAATTTTTGAAATCGTACTCATAAGCTTCCTCTATTCCAGTTTTGTAAATATGTTCTGTGTTGGATGCGGCTTTAGCCACCAACTTTATGCTGATAACAGCATGAACACTTATATTTTTATGTATAATTATTATACTTAGGCATGTCGCATATGACCATATTTTCCCTATGCCATTTGGTAAGTTTTTGATGTATACACCCCAGGCCCTCCCCATAACTCCCATATTTTTGTAACTTGTAGAACTTATGCTGATGATGGATCTATGATAGATCCGAAACATCTACAACCCCCCTTCCAACTGATTATTTTTGTAAAATAAAGAGTGAAGATAGACTGTGTGTTTTACTCCAGGTCTTTTCGATTTTTTATTATTGTTGTTGACTAAAAATGCATAATTAATTAATAATTGAATGAACTGAATTCTTTTACATCTCATAATATTTGAAATATTCGTGAAAAAATGTCAAAACTTCAAAGGCCTTTTTCTTAAAAATGGTTGAGTTTAGACCCCATGTTGTAAAAACTTTTTTTGTTTGAAATGAGCCATATTTTCACGTGTTAAAATTTTTGTAGTCAAACCTGATACACCCTTTATATATGAAATAATTTGAACCCATATGTCTTGTTCATTGGCTCATTGACCCCTAACCCAACCTGAAATCTTTAGAAAAACAAAGCGTAAAGAGGTTATACAAGAATAGATTGGACCAAAAATAATTACAGAGTAGTCTGAAAAAAAAAGACTTAAATTCCATTATAAGAGGAGACAAAGGGGAAAAAAAAGTAACAGAAAATTGAAGAATACTGAAACGCATCAGGACCACCAAAACCAAAGATAATTATTATTACCACGATAAGGCCCTAGAAATGGGAAAGGTATTTCGACATAAAAAAAAAACTGACAACCTAACAAAACTATTCCAGAGATGCATATATAGACGTGAAGTGCCGGAAAAGTGGAAAATCATGAGGAATGTGGTTTGGAAGCAAATCTGACGAATACAGAACATATTATGACCCTATTACTTATTAGTCGCATAAGGACAACGAAAACTGAAATTCATTAACGGCCAAGAAATAAGACAATGCACTGAGGGAACTCAAGTCGGGACAATTAACCCGGGAGTACACGCGTGTCGGTCAAAAAGACCGACCAATGATAAAATCAGTAATCACGCCACTGGTACAAGGGTGGCAGTTTTGTCCATCCAGGAATGCCTGATGCATGTTTTCCACTACTCATTGGCCCAAAAAAATTTTGGTTTTTCGTTGAAGTAGAGTTCGTTGTTTTCATAGTCGGTGCTTTTGACTAGGCGCATGAGCCTGAGTATCTAAAATATTTGTGTTTAAAATTGGCATTTTCTGATATTGGGACTACTTTTGGCTATGGATAATACGGTAACTGTACTGCATAATATAATTGCCTTTGTAATGATTATGAATTCTAGGAATTATAGTGCTTGTACTCTTTTTTCGCGGAAACGATGCCAAACGTATCCTGAACACTAAGGCATGACTTACGCAGGTAATATTTGAAAGTTTAATGTCTGTATTGATTAGAAGGTCATGCCTTAGCGTTCAGGATATATTTGGGATCGTCTCCGCGAAAAAAGCTAAGAACTTATATAAACTTTTAGGTCGTCGGTCGATTTGACCGAACGCGTGTATTGACGTAAGTTTTTTGACGCGTGTAATGACGGGTTTTAAAGAACGAAATGTAGGTACAAGGACGGAAGGCAATATCCCTACTAAGAGCCAAATTATGGACCTACTGGTAACGTCTCTGGCGAATTAACCCCGCTGGTGAAACTAAAAATTGAATGCAATTTTTAGCTTTACCAGCAGGATAAAGGTGCCAATAACGTTACCAGTCGGTCCATAATTTGGCCCTAAATGGATTACTGTGAGACCCAAACATCAAGAGAACAAAAAAAACTAAAGGGTGTATGGTTTTCTTTGTCCTAATTGGATGACTTAGACGCGGCTGCCATGTAGTTCCAGCAAGATGGCGCCACTTGTCACACAGCGGCTAAAACAATCGATTTACTGGGGCGAGGTTTGACATCGCATTATCTCTCGCCATACCCCATGCAATTGACCTCCGCGTTCGTGTGACTTGACGCCCCTGGACTTCTTTCTTTGGGGTTACTCAAAGTCGCTCGTGTTTGCCAATAACCCCACAACAATCGGGCAGATAAGGGAAAACATACAACCAGATTGCTGTTGTTGGCATGAGTTCTGAGAAATTGTTTGCCAGGGCATCAAGAGGATGACATTCAAATGATGTTTTGTTTAAAACATAATAAATGGCATAAAATATATTTTCGATTAATACACAATTTATTTTTCTAACTCAAAAGGTTCGTGTTTTATTCAAAATTAAAGTTCTGTCACTGCTATAGAGCATACCTACAGCACCATCGTTAAAACCATAATTACATAACGGACAGAACTGCAAAAATGCTTCAAGCAACTGAAATGGACTTCTTGAGGAGAGCGGCAGGCAGGTCAAAAATGGAATGATAACAAAACAAACCAGGGAATTAGAGAAATAATGAATGTGTGACACACATTAGTAGATGATATCAAAGACAAACAACTGATGATTCGGTCCGGACAAGTACAAAATATGGCAGATCCGAGAATATCTAAGCAAATCTGTTAGTGGAAGCTATGGGGAAGAAGAAGGCGCGGCAGACTGAGAAGAAGCTGAAGAAGTGGATTAGACGAGAAAATGAGAGACAGAGTCTTGGAGGTGGATGCCTAGATACACAGAGATCGTTGGAGATCGGGAATCTGATGAAGTATATCGTTATAGACCGATAAATAAACCTAATTTAATCAAATCAAAGAATGTGTTTGTAGGGCTAGTTTTTTTTTTAACACATACACTTACAATATATAAGGAATGCAAAAACGCTTACCATTTGCTATGAGATGCTCATATTGTCCTTCGTCTCTAATAAGTTTATATTTTCCGCTAAGAGTCATTTTTTGTGATAATAATAATTGTATGGAATTCTTAACTGATATGCATAAATTAATTTATCAAGTGCGCTTTTATGCAAATTTTATCAAAAGTAGGGACTATTCCCTCAGTGAGGTAACATGCAAAATCCGTATGTAGGCTATCTGTACTGGAGAATTATATTCAAGTTATTGTCTTTGTAATACTAGAACAAATATTTGAGAAAAAAAATTATTTGAAGTAATGTGATACGGCGCGGGGAAATTTGATAAGATTGTTTCTATCAAATCACACACTTTAGTTGATTGTTTTTGCTAAGCTTTTAGAGAAATAAAATTCAATAGCTTGTAAAACCCTCTTCAAAATTTCATATATTTACCCATGCTCGTAATTAAAAAAAAAAAAGATTGTGTTCAGACCCAATCAAACTTAAAAACCATTTGGGAAACCAGACCTAAGTTTTTATCAGACGAAAAACTCATTATCTAGAACTACATACAATGGAAACTTCGAAACTTCCAGCTTGATTTTATGATAATGCGTCTGTCTGTATTATGTATTATCTTTATAGAGACTATGTTGAAGCGACTTAAGTTAAAAGAATGCCAATTTTTTTAGAAATAAAAATGTGAGAATTTTGTGGAATGTTGATCATGTTTTTAAATAAACTACGCGTCAATCGAACTCGAACACCCCAATTTTTGGTCACTTTTTGAAAAGCTATAACTCAAAAACTAGCAGGCCGATTTTGTTCAAATTTTGAGGAGTGGAAGGATGCTCTAATTACTATTTAATTTCCAGTTCTTAACAGATTTCCGGCCACCTGCTAAAAGATACAGGGTGAAACATGAGTAGGCGATTTTTTTGCGAAAGTTTTGGTTCACCCCATTCTGCTGGAGGGAGGGTTAAGTAGATTTTTGGTATGCAGTTTAGAAGAGTACTTTGGTACCTCGGGACGTCTTTGAGATTTTTTGAATAACGCAGCCCACTACGATTTTATCTTGAATTATGCGATTTTATGTAAAATATAGCTATTGACGTCATTATTTCTTTCGAAACAGACACTACAATTATGGCGCATGTGGAAACACACTTTAAAACATATTATACAGGGTCATACAAAAATATACAGGTATCTTGCCTATTATTAAAGATCTGAGGTCGGTTGAATTAGGGCAAAGTCGCGCAATTTTATGGCCAATAAAATGGGGTTTAACATTGGCACCGCTGCTTATAGACATTGCAGGTGGTGAACTAAGAATTACTTCGGTCCGGGATGACAACAGAATTCTTTTACCAGTGCGACAAAACAGAACTCTCAATTCTTCGCGAATAAGGATTGCGTTAGGAATTGAAGCCTCAAAATCAACAAGGACGTCTCCATAAGAGAAATTTGAGAGCCAGACAGCATGTCCATTATTAAAAGCAGTCCATCGAAGAGCACGAATAAACTGGGCTAATATTCATAGACAATAGACACTGGGGGGGAGTGGCTGAATGGTAGGGATGTTTGCTTGTGGATGAATGCAGATCAGTGGCGGCTCGTCAGAGGAGGCAGGGGAGGCTAAGCCTCCCCAAAAAAAATGAAAATTAAATTTCAATATTTTATCCCTAATTCCTATTTAATATTATAATTCACAAATTACACTTTCCAAATTTCGATATTTTAATATAATTTGGAACAATCTGACAACATTATTTCAAACAATTCCGCGCCTCCATGACAAAAATCTGTTCCTTGCCCGCAATTTTACTATTAGAAGTCGACCGGAGGCTTCAGTCTCATATGCTTCCCTGAAATCTAGCATTTAAATGGACCGCGAATCTCAGCGACCAATAGAAATGCCGGAAACATGTCGAACCATTCCTGGCGTTCAGGCACCATCGGGTCGCGGAGCGGCTAGCCGCAACCTTTGATTGCAAGGTTGGAAACTGCCACCGTTGCTTTTTTATCTCTTTTTTATGCATTCGGAGTTCCATGTCACTTTTCTATTCGTAGATTGTTGATTGATATTTTTTGTCTTCAGATGCATTTCAAATTATTGTGCAATTGTGTATCTTTCTTGGATTTTATATACCTAGGTATGTATTTTTTATTTTTCGTCAAAGTGAATTTTTTAGCGTTAAAACGAATTAAAACTTACTCTCGAAGTACCATGTCCTAAAACAGACTAACTAACGTATCTTTTGTTTCAATTGAAAAAGAATTTGTATCCAAAAATGTGCGAAAATGACCAGTTTTATGAAGAAGTACCTAATAGAATATTTCGCGAATAAAAAAAGCCGACGAATTCCGCTCATTTTTAAAATCCCATAAACTACATTGATCAGAACGAAAAAGGAGCACTTCAGTAATTTATTATAAGTTGCATTAGAAAAAAAAAATCTGTTTTTCCAGCAGACACGCAATTCCATATGAAACCAATAAAGGCCCCCACACACTACGATGAAACATGACGGTTTTCATCGCCGCGATGAAACACGTCGTTCCAAAACTGAAGTGTGTGGTAGAAAACCGTCGTGTTTTTCTACCACACACTTCATTATTTATCCAACCTACCCCAAATTTGGGGCATATTTCAGAAAATATGATCTATTGACGAAGAAGAGTTCTTTAGTTTATATCAGATAGTCCGGAAGAAATTGATAGTTCACCTCTCAGGTTAATTACTCAGCATGCGAATACGGAAAATATATACTTATGATGTTTCTTTTCTTGAGCATTTATGGTTTTTATTGAATTTCAGATAAATTCTTGAGGACGTAGACACTCAAAAAAAAAATTGCCTGCTGCCAGTGGTTACCGTAGTTCATTATTATTTTTAGCCTCCTCACTTGAAATAGTCACGAGCCGCCACTGATGCAGATTCACGCTGTATCAGAATGATGGGCGCATATTAGTATGTAAAGAAACGCGTGAGAGCTACAGAAAAGAATGCATGGAAGTAAGAGAGGCTTTTGGTGATGGAGGCGTGACAGTTTGGAGGGGGGGGGGTTATTTTCCGGAATGGGTAGACTGAACTGGTAATTTCAATGAGAGAAAATATGAATGAAAAACGGTACCGTGATTTGTGTGTAAAGGCGTTTACACACGGACGTGGATGTCCGAAAACATGTACGCACATACATGAACGCGCGAAAAAAAATATCAATGTGTATGCAGAATACCATCACATTTTTGAATGTGCAAGCGGTAGAAAGAAGGTCAGGTGAATTTCTACGCATCAATCGAACTCGAACACCCCAATTTTTGGTCACTTCTTGTAAGACCATAACTCAAAATCTAGCAGACAGATTTTGTTTAAATTTTCAGGAGTGAAAGGCTGCTCTAATTGCTAATTAATTTCCATTTGCTAACAGATTTCCGTCCACCTGCTGAAAGATACAAGGTGAAAAATAAGTTGGCGATTTCTTTACGAAAGTTTGGGTTCACCCCATTCTGCTGGAGGGAGGGTTAACTAGATTTTTGGTATGCAGTTTAGAAGAGTACCTTAGTACCTCGGGACGCTTTTGAGATTTTTTGAATATCGCAGCCCACTACGATTTTATCTTGAATTATGCGATTTTATGTAAAATATATCTATTGACGTCATTATTTCTTTTGAAACAAACACAACAATTATGGCGCATGTGGAAACACACTTTTTAAACATATTATACAGGGTCATACAAAAATATACAGTGTGTCTATTTTTCTAACCAGAGGTATCTTGCCTATTATTAAAGATCTGAGGTCGGTTGAATTAGGGCAAAGTCGCGCAATTTTATGGCCAATAAAATGGGGTTTAACACTGGCACCGCTGCTTATAGACATTGCAGGTGGTGAACTAAGAATTACTTCGGTCCGGGATGACAACAGAATTCTTTTACCAGTGCGACAAATCAGAACTCTCAATTCTTCGCGAATAAGGATCGCGTTAGGAATTGAAGCCTCAAAATCAACAAGGACGTCTCCATAAGAGAAATTTGAGAGCCAGACAGCATGTCCATTATTAAAAGCAGTCCATCGAAGAGCACGAATAAACTGGGCTAATATTCATAGACAATAGACACTGGGGTGGAGTGGCTGAATGGTAGGGATGTTTGCTTCTGGATGAATGCAGATTCACGCTGTATCAGAATGATGGGCGTGTATTAGTATGTAAAGAAACGCGTGAGAGCTACAGAAAAGAATGCATGGAAGTAAGAGAGGCTTTTGGTGATGGTGGCGGGACAGTTTGGGGGGGGGGGGTTATTTCCCGGAATGGGTACTGAACTGGTAATTTTAATGGGAGAAAGTATGAATGAAAAACGGTACCGTGATTTGTGTGTAAAGGCGTTTACACACGGACGTGGATGTCCGAAAACATGTACGCACATACATGAACGCGCGAAAAAAAATATCAATGTGTATGCAGAATACCATCACATTTTTGAATGTGCAAGCGATAGAAAGAAGGTCAGGTGAATTTCTACGCATCAATCGAACTCGAACACCCCAATTTTTGGTCACTTCTTGTAAGACCATAACTCAAAATCTAGCAGACAGATTTTGTTTAAATTTTCAGGAGTGAAAGGCTGCTCTAATTGCTAATTAATTTCCATTTGCTAACAGATTTCCGTCCACCTGCTGAAAGATACAAGGTGAAAAATAAGTTGGCGATTTCTTTACGAAAGTTTGGGTTCACCCCATTCTGCTGGAGGGAGGGTTAACTAGATTTTTGGTATGCAGTTTAGAAGAGTACCTTAGCACCTCGGGACGCTTTTGAGATTTTTTGAATATCGCAGCCCACTACGATTTTATCTTGAATTATGCGATTTTATGTAAAATATAGCTATTGACGTCATTATTTCTTTTGAAACAAACACTACAATTATGGCGCATGTGGAAACACACTTTAAAACATATTATACAGGGTCATACAAAAATATACAGTGTGTCTATTTTTCTAACCAGAGGTATCTTGCCTATTATTAAAGATCTGAGGTCGGTTGAATTAGGGCAAAGTCGCGCAATTTTATGGCCAATAAAATGGGGTTTAACACTGGCACCGCTGCTTATAGACATTGCAGGTGGTGAACTAAGAATTACTTCGTCCGGGATGACAACAGAATTCTTTT